TGTTTCTTTAAACATTCAATTACAGCTATACAAACACAGATTTTAAGTGAACAGCATCCGATCTTTGTACAAATTAGGGATGCCAGAAGGCAAATAAAATAGATTCCTTGAAAAAACTACTTAAGAAAAATTCAGCTCTTCTCTGTGAAGAATTGATTTACCATGGGAGAGCTTCTGAGTAGGGTTAATTAGGTGACTCTCTTCTAGCTTTAGCTCTAGATTCATAATTCTTATGATTTAAGGAACTGGGGCCACTTTTATTTGGGTATAGCTTCTGAGCCAATTTTCAATTAAAACAAATTTCTGAATATTTAAAGACCTAATATTCAATGAGTAGACTTTTTTTTTTACTCCCTTTGAAAGTTGCTGGAGGTCTTTTGAAATGGCCTTTCATATTTTTTTAATGAATAATAAATACTTCAATGTTCTTCTTTTAACATTAGGAAGTTTTTAATGACAGCCTTTTTCCTTCAAAATAAAAAGTTGTTTTCCTAATTTTAAAAATAATATGTTCTTGCTGTAAAATGGTAAGACAATAAAGTAAAAATCTTCCATGAGCTTAACAATCTGAATACATCATGTATTATAATGTTAAAGTCAAAACTATGTAACCTATTTTCAAAGAGATTACTTATATTGATTCTACCATGAATTTTCTTTTACAATAATAAAGATCTCCATCTTTATTTATTTATTTATTTTTTTGAGAGAGATTTTTCCTACAGGACATGTGTGCTCACCAGAGAGACAGAGACAGAAAGTGATAAATCATCCCCTGGGGGGCAAGGCCACACTACCATCCCTTCTCCTCCACTCTCTTCTCAGGATCTTGGGCATGCACACACATGCCTGGAATGAGTTAAGTCGCCAGGTTCGGGACTTGAAGCACAGTCAACTATGTGAGAGTCCAGCAATGTAACCATTATGCCATCTGCTGGTCCCTTCCAACACTTTTTTAAAGAAGTTTATGTGTTTATTCCATGACAGAAAGAGAGCTAGGTGCCCCCAAAAGAGTCTTTGCACAGTGACCCATCCCCAGTTTTAGCTAACCTGGGGTCATAGGCACACACACGCACATGCCAGCATACACAGAGAGGCCCTAGGACACAGACCTGAGACTTTCCCATGCAGGTCTGGCATCACAGAGGACTGCATTATTACTATGCCACCATCTGACTCCTCTATCACTTTTAATTGCTGCATAGTATTCTGTTTCAGAGCTGAGCTATAATTTTAGGTTTGCTATAGGGCATGTGTACTGATTGCAGAGAGACAGAAAGCAAGAGAAAGAGAGAAATCAATCCCCCATCCCCAGAGGGGATGGTGATGGCCACACTGCAATCCCTTCTCCTCCATTCTCCTCTTGGGTTTTGGGCATGTACTGTAAACTACCCAGTCAGGGACTCAAACTGCTCAGTTGGCTATGTGGGATCAAGCCATCTTAACCTCCATGCCACCTACTGGCCTCATGATTTATTTAATCATTCTCCTATCAATGTACTTCTAAGTAAAATTTTCTCCAGTGAACAATGTTGAATATAGGGCTAATTCTCTGTAAGTAGGCAGAGAAACAAGGTACTGACTAGTTTATTTTCTGATTGGTCCATGTTTTAATTGATTAAGTCTTTTACTGTACTGGTTGTCAAATACCTAAGTGATTCCTGCTTGTATTTTTATCTTTGGGTTTTTATAGCTTCATTTGGATAAACTCTCTGAATTGGATCTACTAAGTCAAATATTGTTCTAATTAAAAATTCTATTATATACTGAAGAACGAGTACCTTTTGTGTCAGACAGCATTAAGAGTTAGTATATAAGCATTTCATTCTACTTACAAAATTGTAGGTTTTTAGGTACTCATTGTCTCAGATATACAGTCCATTTGGAATAGATATGTAATCTTTTTTTACTTAGTTAATTAATTTATTATCATCACAACCTTGTTTATATTACATTGAATCGTACATAACTTTACAGTGTATTACATTGCTTTTTCAAACAGGGTAGAAATGTAATCTTTAAAAAAATTCTTCTGAATAATTTGTGAGAAATATATTATTAAAATAATACTTTGGCATGCTCTAATTATAAAACTGTTACTTTATCAGACTGGAATCTCTAAAATTGGTACAAGTCATATAATTAAAACTATATAATATCATAGGAACATATTCACCACCACATGTTTTCTCAAATGTAGGTTAACAGTGAAGTTGGAAAGATAAATAAATTAAGAAGAGAGGGTTTTTATGTTTCCAACTTTTCAAATTTTGACATTACCTTGTGAAAGGCCCAGGATTAGAAAGAAGCAAATTAAGAAATCTTTAAAAATGATAGTTATGCAAATTAGCCACTGTCTACTAGTCAATGTATATTATACTATCGGCAGTAATGGACGGTAAATCATTTTCATAGGGAACCATGAACAAGGCTATTAAACAACTGCAAATTCAGAGAACTAGATGGGCTCTAAGACATTATTTTTATATGGAAAAGTATGCCCATTATAAAGCTAAATGAAGGAGAGTATGATATAAAATCGCACCTAGACTCTGATACCGACTAAGAATCAAAAGAAGTCAAACATTATTTATAGGAAATAAATCTATGTTAAAGTTCACCAAAATAATAACCAGGGTTGTACGTGGCAATAGAGTTTCCTTTTCTTGTTGTTGTTGTTTTATTTTTCCCTCTATGGCATTCAATTTTCTGCCTTGGACACATATTCCTTTTATAGCAAAAACAAATGGCTTAAGGTTTTTATTAAATCTATTTCGGCTTCTCTACCTGAAGCCGTAATACTGTATAAAAAGGTTCAGAATCAGCTTCCCTCATGCCATGCACCATCTTCCAACTGTCTAACAACAGGACCAGTTGCATAAAGTAGCTTCCTAAATCCAACTGCCAATCATAAAAGCCCCACGGAGGATCACCACCATAGCATCACCACCAGAATCCTTTATTATTATTGTTTGACTTCTCTGGGAATACCTCATTTTTTGCCATTGAGATAATTCCAAAACCATATACCAAAGAAGTACAAACATTTAAATGTCCCAGAATGCTCTTTCACATACTCATAAAGGCATGACGATATTTATTGCAAAGAGAGACATATTTAAAGCAACATTCAGTTTTTTTGTTCAGATCCTTGATTATTTATGTCCATAAATATTTATTTTGCGATTGAGTCACAAGAAAAGCTAAAAACAGATTATTTACTGTTTACAAAGTTTAGAATCCACTTACTATTTTTTAATTTAATCACTGTGCATCTTTACAGTGTACAACGTGGTTTTTCCCAGCATGAATAGAATGCGCATTAGTCAAGCCAATGATATTACCGTATACATTATTATCGGCAGATAACTTTGCATTTTTGTGTATATTAAATGTGTTGTTTGTTTTTCCCTGGTCCATTTAAGTGTGAGGGATAAATATATAAGAAAACATACAAAGAGGCAGGTTGTACATCCCAAGGAGCAGGCCTTGTGATTTCATATATAGGATCATCGGAAAAGTCATGATGAATTTTTCTGTTTTTCTATGCGAAAATGTGCCATGACTTTTCTGATAACCCCATATATTGATTTTAAACATACGGTGGTGTCAGATGTTGAATGTTGGCCATTGATGTTCTCTTTCATGCAACTTGCTTAGTACTTTCAAATCAAAGCACCCGTATGAGTAAGTGATCTGACTTGTTTACATGAAGAGGCTGAGTCACATTTTTGTGACTCTACATCTCTGGTGGAACTCATTCCAGTGAGGCTGCCCTATCTATATTGTTATTTCAGAAAAATAAATAAATAAATAAATAAATAAATCACTGATGGGTGAAAAATACAACCAGCACTTCTGGAAAAAGAAACTACTATTTTGAATCAAGCAGGACTTATTTCTTTAATACAGATTGCTTACCATGACTTTTCTGATAACCCCATATATTGATTTTAAACATACGGTGGTGTCAGATGTTGAATGTTGGCCATTGATGTTCTCTTTCATGCAACTTGCTTAGTACTTTCAAATCAAAGCACCCGTATGAGTAAGTGATCTGACTTGTTTACATGAAGAGGCTGAGTCACATTTTTGTGACTCTACATCTCTGGTGGAACTCATTCCAGTGAGGCTGCCCTATCTATATTGTTATTTCAGAAAAATAAATAAATAAATAAATAAATAAATAAATAAATCACTGATGGGTGAAAAATACAACCAGCACTTCTGGAAAAAGAAACTACTATTTTGAATCAAGCAGGACTTATTTCTTTAATACAGATTGCTTATTAAAAGCTCATAAGCTCCTCTTTTCTGGTACTAATCAAATAGACTATGAAGGAGTCTTTTACATCTGAAGACTCCATAGGGATTGATTGCCAAAATGACAAGAATATGACTTATGACTTGTTTTCACTTATGCTTGAGGCAGACAGATTTCTACTGGGGAGGTATAAATATGCAATAATATGCATGTGCTCCAAAACAAAATGTAATACTGTTTTCTGGAAATTTATCTAATTTTCCAAAGAAGGGCCAGATTTTTAAATAAAAAGAATAGTTTATTCCACTGGAGTCAAGTTTTGAACTATAAAATAAACTCATATTTCTGAGGGAGAAAAGAGTTTCCATCATTTGGAGCCATTTTCTCTTATATAACCCAGGAATTGTGAAAAGTCAACTAATTATGGAACACTGTTACTTGAACAGAACAGGGGATGCCTACAATTTTATCCTTGAAAGATCAGGCTCTGAAAACAAAACACTGCAACTATGAAAAAACAAAAACAAAAACCCTGAATTATAAAGTTCTTTTTTAGAATGATAAAATTCTTTATTTTTCTGTTGGATAATGTTCCAAAGTTAATTCTAGCCTTAAATCCAAATCTGGATTATGAATCCATGCATTTGGTTTTATTTCTCTAAATGCCAACATTAATTAGTTCATGTTGTCTTAACTTTCTCCTATCATGCAATAAACAAGAATTAACTTGACTTACTCATTTCTTTCCAAATTTATGATCAGTTCTTTGCTTTCCAGTTGTATTCGAACATTTAAGACTTCTGGATGATTCTGAAAGATAAACAATAAAAGTCAGTTGAAAAACATTTCATTGTGACTTTGCTGATGTCTGGATATGCTCCATAGGCCTATTCAAGACAGAGAGAGAATACACATTTTCTCCTTGGAAATATTCTGAGATTCTAAGTATAGAAGACCAAGGCAAGTCCCTCCCATGTGGCATGGACATGATCTTTGTACTCCTTTTCTCCAGCCATACACTCCTGGGACCCTTCTGGACCCCATGTTCTGCTCCTGTCCCAAATCAACTCCTTCCTTGGTCTATGACAGATACCTTCATTTCCTCAACTATTCATGCTGGAAATTTAAAGTCATCCTTGAAATACCCCTTTCCCTCACTAACTCCACTCGGCCTATATGAAAGTCCTGTTGAGTTGCCTTCAAAATACAATCCCTACTGTCCATGTCTTGTATCTCTTGACTCCACTTCAGCTCAAACCACAACCATCTTTGATGTGGGACACAGTTCCTTCTTACCCCGGTTCCTTAATATCCACCTTTCCTTTCCTCTCATTCATTCTCTAATAGCAGTGGAAGGATAGTTTTAGAAACATCCTGATCATTCCAACCCTGTTTAAAACAAGCCTGTTACCTGCTTCTCACCACACTGATAAGATGCTAAATCTTTTAACACATCCTACAGTGTCCTACAGTGTCCTGTCCCTGTGATCTGGCCCTCACTGCCTCTACACCCTCCTACACTGCACTGCTCTCCTCCTCACTCCCCTGTCTCTGACCACCATGACCTTGCTAGCTTTGCAAACACACTGCACTTTTTCTTTCTTTTTTTTCTTTGTTTTCAGTACTGAGTACATGTTGTTCTCTCTACATGGAATGGTTTCCTCCCAACTCTTCTACTCGATATGAGCTTAAATGTCAATGATTTATAGAAGCCTCACCTCACCCCCAATCTAGGTTCATTCTCTGCCCCCCAATTATTCTTTCTTCCATCCTCCTGTTCTTGTTCTTTTTCTTTTCTTTTTTTGGAGAGGTTTTTTCTATAGGCATGTGTGCTCGCCAGAAAGACAGAGACAGAAAGCGAGAAATCACCCCCCAGGCCACACCACAATCCATTCTCCTCTTGGGATCTAGGGCATGCACACACACACACCTAGTGTGAATTTAAGCCCCTGGGTCTGAGACTCGAACCATGGTCAACTACATGGGAGTCCAGCAACAGAGCCATTACACCAACTGCTGGTCCCAAGCCTCTGGTTCTTGTCAGCTTTGTATGGAAAGCCATCCCTCTTACTTGTAAAACTTTGGTATGTTGATTTGTATGTCTACTGGCTAACTACATCCACAAAGGTGCCAAATAATAGAAGTCCAATTAATATTAATTATTGGTGAATGAAGAAATCTATCCATAAATAGGACAGTTCTACCAATCTCTTTTCCTTTCTACTAGGCAGACACCTCCTCGCCTCTCCTCTTTTCTAAGCTCCAGGAAAACAATGCTCATTTGTGCCATCTATCAGTGGGTAGCAAGCACCTGTATCCTTTGTTCTGCTCTCAGAAACTCTGAGTTTCTTTTTTTTTTTTGCACCCCTGTAATGGTGTCCTTTAACCCACATCCCTACTCCAGGTTCTCTCCCACCTACACCAAAGTGGACAAAACTGACACATTGAGCCCAAGTCAATGATTTAATCCTTAGCCAAGACAAAATAATTTTGCTATCCCAAGCTTATTCTAGAAAAATCTCTCCTTCACTTCTCATCTTGTCAACCCTTAATAATTCTAGGGCATCTCTGTTATGAGTATCTCTTACTGTTATCCTTGTCTCAGATGGGATTTTCACAAATTTACAGGCCATTTTTTTTTTTGAAGAGATTTTTGCTATGGGGCACGGGCGCTCGCCAGAGACAGAGAGAGACAGAGAGACAGAAAGCGAGAAATCATCCCCGGGGAGATGGCCACGCCGCAGTCCCTTCTCCTCCATTCTCCTCTTGGGGTCTTGGGCACGCACGCACACACGCCCAGTGTGAGTTTAAGTCACTGGGTCCGGGACTCGAACCGCAGTTGACTATATGGGAGTTCAGAGACATGGCCATTAGGCCAACTTCTGGTCCTAGGCTATTTCTAAAATAATTTAAAAATTGTAATTTTATCTCTAAGCTAATTTCTCATCTCTGAAATTATGGTAATAAACCAATATGTACAATTTTTGTGGTAAACAAATGATAAATAATTTGGTCCAGTCAGTCTCCTACCATCAAACAGGCCCAAACTTTATAAACTCTTTCTTTTTTTTTCTGTTTTTAATTTGCTGGCATGGGAGTTTATCGGAGAGAAAGAAAGCACCCTCTCCCATGCAAATTGGGGGATGGTCATGCCACAATCTCTTCTCCATTCTCTTAGGATTTTGGGTATATACACATACATATCTGGCATGTGTTTCAGGCTGCTGTGTCCAGGACATTAAAATGATTAGTTAAAATGAAACAACTTTTTTTTTTTTTTAATGGCTACTGAAGGTTATATGAGTTTTAGGAAAATGGTTAAACATGTACTAACACCGTATTACTGGAGAAGAATCAAAAAACTTAATCACTAACTTAATTTTTAGGGCAGCCCTGTGCACATCTCCTTGTAATCTTTCTGTGTCCACTATGGTAGCCATTAGTCACATATGACTTTTCCATTTCAATTAACAAGGGCCAGCCACAAGGCACAGTGGCAATGCACTGCTAGATGAAGAGGAACTAAATCCTGGTGACCCTGAAACCTGCTTGACATGCACATGAGTGCCCAGGATGAGATGGCCGGAGGACTGGGTGAAGGGAATAGCAGCACAACCAGACCCAGTGGACAGTGCTCCTGTCTCTCTCTCCCCCAGCCCCTTGCGTTCACATGTATGTGACAGTCTCTACCATCAGTTAGCCAAAATGAAACAAAATTCAGACATCGGTTCATCAGTTGCACAGGACAATTCAAGGCTCAATGGCTACATGTGGCTAGTGGCCACCAGTACTAGACAGCACAGACCTGAGCATGTCCATTATTGCAGAAAGCTCCACTGGACAGCTGGGAGTCAGTAAAAGGTCCTGAAATCTACATCATCCAGTTGTGACCTGAGTAATAGACTATTGTAAATATTAGTGTTTTTAGGGGATAAAATTAGTTGCAAATCCAAGTTTTTTTGTTTTATCTTTTAATTATATTTTCTCCATGCTTTAAAGAAGCTCTTCTCAGTTTTTATTGACAGATAACATTATTTATTTAAAATTTTTTGTTTGTTTGTTTAGTTCATATGAAAAGGTGTGGAAGGGCAGGGAAGAGAAGGAATAAGAGAGAGAAAGACCCGGCACCTCCAACAGGATCTTGGTGCCACGGTCCACTCAGTGTCAGCCAGCCCTGGATCATGGACATGCATGTGTACCAAGAACATTCAGGGAAGTCTCTGAAGGAACCTTCTCATGTGGATTACCCTCAAAGAGCATAGTGTTTTAACACTGTACCACCATCCAGATCCAGTGATATTAGTTTAAATAGTTACTTAAGCTTGAATGTTAAACTGGTGAATGTCCATACATATGAAATGCTTACGTATATTTTCTAGGTTTAAGCTGGTCTTGTTTTTAATGAATTCACTCTAGCAAAAGACTACACAAACCTACTTGTTTTTCATTTCAGTATTTTTTTTTAGTTGCCAAAGGGTACATGTTCTCATTAGAGAGAGAAAGAAAGGAGGAGAAAGCACCTCATCCCCACCCCAATTAGGTGTGGGTATGTCACAATCCCTTCTCCTCTCTCCATGCTGTTGGATTTGGGCCATCCAAGCAAATGCATTCAGTGTGTTTTTTTATGTGGTAGGTGCCAGATTGAAGTGTGCAGTCAGTCATGTGGGATTCAGCTCCCTTAACCACCAGGCCCTGGGGCTGACCCCTTACTTCTTAATTTATATATGTTTATACTGTCTGGGATTTTTATGAACTATTTAGATTTCTGAGTGTTTGTTGAGTTTTAAAGATCAATATTACCATTTCATCCTATGTAACAATAAATACATAGCTTTTTAATACAGTGTGTAAAAGTGTTTTTGCACTTTTTAATATAGTGTGTAAAAGTTCTGTATTTGCTTTTGAGTATGCCATACGACTTTTGACTATATTTGCTTATACTTTCTGACACATTTCATTACAAATACTTATATAATGTTCTCTTCAGAGTTTGCAATATGCACTCCTTAATTTTATCTTAGAAAAAAAACAAGATTGGGGCCGGCAAGTGGCATAGTGGTAAAAGGCGCTGGACTCCCACATGGCCGACCACGGTTCAAGTCTCGGACCTGGTGGCTTGCTTTCTCACTTCCTCTCTCTCTCTCTGTGTCTCTCTGATCAAACTGGAAAATAATAATGATAATAATAATAAATAAAGTTAAATAAAATAATTATTAAAAAAAAACAAGATTAATTATATTTACAGTAAAATATTAGAAAACATATCTCAATATTCTGTCAAGATGTGCCCAGACACTACATGTATGTATATTTGTATACATATATTTGTGCATGTATGTATTTGTTTATATGTGTGTATAAAAATAACTTATTTTAACTATCATTACACATATCACTACCTTAAAGATAAATCCTGACAATTACACTTGTGAATAAGAATAAATTACCTTCAGAATGATTTCCCCTCCAAAAAACTGAGTGAGTTTAAACATTTGTATTAATTGAACATAAACTGCCTACAAGAGCTGTTATAACATTCCAATGTCAACATCTTTCAAAAGAATACATTTCCTTCCAGGGAGGTGAGAAGATCTGTATCTGTACATTTTAGTTGAGATATGGATGGTTCAGGAGAAATCAATGGAGAGAAAGAACAGAGAGCTATTTTAATTCAAAAGCCCTAATTGCATTAGACTTCTTAGTTTCAAAGCATGTATTCATTCCATTTTCTTTGATTGTTATCCATTGGAGATAATGAACTAGTACTGGGAAGATGCAATATTCCTTTTCTTAAAGATGATTTATTGATT